CATAATACATAAAGGTTATCCTGGTCTTATTTAGATGTATAAGGTATAAACAGTAAAGTTACTGACTCAAGGTACTCTTTCCTTCTATCTCTGGCCAATCCAGATATCTCCCAAAATATTAGAAAGAATTAAATCTACTTTTCTGCCCATGCAGAAACTTAAAATATATGTTCCCAGTAGGCATTATTTTAAATAGTAGCTACTATTACTGAAGCGCTATATGATAAACTTAGTATATATGATGGCATAAAATTTTGTTTTTGAGAGTTGACCTGATAAGCTAAACAATAATTATAATATCTAGTGTATAAAACCAAACTAAAAAAAAAATCTCTATATAAGAATCTTTCGGAAGACACCATCATCACAAACTAATAAATTTAATCTTTGCAAGGTGACATCAAATTTTTATATACTGAATAATTTAATTAGTGATTACATTCAGAAAACAGTATCATCCAACCTCATTTTTCTTAGAATATTCTTGGAATATTATGTTTGATTTTATGTAAACAAAAATTACATTTGATTCCAATTTAAAGAAGCACCAACAAAAAGTTAATGCTAAGAGAAAATCTCTAAGAAAAGTATATCTAATGATCAATTATTTCTGATGAAAGTTTTTAAAAATATGAATAAAGAAATGAAAGCACCCTTTGTTCTTTCAGAGAAAATTTTACCTTCTGAAAAAAATTCATTATTAACCTTTATTAAATTTCTCAGAATCGTATTGTTAAGGGATATATTTTCTTCAAAAAGCCTGACAAATTACACAAAATCTGATATGACATAAAACAAGTCCATCCAGGTTTACTTAGCTAAAACATGATTTTTAAGGGTACTAAAACTTAAAATCTTGTGATCACTTATATGATACAAAAGATAGAAGCAGGAAAGGTTTGATCAGTGAACTAAATTGAAACAAAGAATTTTAAATACTCTAAATATACACATCACTGAATCATAATTACCTGTGTACAATCAATTTGGGACTGTAAAAGACCCAAATAACTATGCTGATAATATGTACATAAATTAATACTATTAGATCATAACTTTTTTCATTAGTTGTTCTTAAGGCATTTAAAAATTAAACCTGGAAATGCTATCCTGAAAGACTTTAAGATTTTCCTTAGAAAAATGGCCAGCATTTTGTCCCATTAATGAGTAACTAATTTTAGGAGATATGTTTAAGATTTATGAAACAATGACCAAATTTAGAGGGAAGATCAAAGTAAGGACTCAACTTTATAAAAGTAAAGGGTTATTTGAGACTTTATTTTAATAAAAAAAGAAACATAAAATCATAAGCTGAGTAGAATAAATTCAGTAGCCTGCCTAAACTGAATTATTTTACTCTGAATCCCAGCTTACCTAAGAATATTGTTATAGTATAAGTAGGTTAAGAATAGTATCTGCAAGATACATGGTAACTTTACACTAAACATTCCCATCAATCTTGTCACCTTCACTGCAATAATACTACATGAAAACAGTAAAGAGAATATAAGAAACACCTACAAGTACAATAATATTCAGTCTATATACGTACCAATTCATTCTCCAGCCCTTTGTGCTCGTGTGTGCTATTAATTTCTTTTAAGTGATGTCAACATCATCAAAGGAAGTGTTTAGGGGCAAAAGAGCTGCTACTGACAAAATCAGCTTCTAGTCAAAAAAACTTTCAAAGCAATGAATAGAAAATCAAGCAGTATTTTTAAGTCTCCCCAATAAAAGTGTTTCTTAGTCATTTAAAAGAATTAGTCTTATTTTGGCAAAATCAAACAAAACTTTAAAATAGAGGATTAAATATTATTATATATTATAAGCATGCCAGATCATGTTTGATTACTATATTCAAAATTGCTTCTGCTAATCCTTTATATTTTGTCCAATGCTATTTACACTAAGTAAATGATAAAAAAAGTTTACACTAAGAAAATAATAGATTCATTTTTTATAAATATTCCTTATGTCCCTTTAGCTTGTGTTTTCTCCTGACTCACAAACTAGACAATAAGCTTAGCTGAGCTGGTGCTACAAAATCCATCTATCTCCCTAAATTTTTTGAAAGGTGTTTTATATTTTGTTTCCCCAAGACTTCCCAGACCTGGTATAAATAAATATTACATAAAATACTGCATTTATAGAATGAATAATTCCTCATAACACATGCAATTGCAGCCTCAGTTCAGGTATCAATCCTACTTTCTACCTTGAGAACAGAAAACTGTGTTTTTTTCTGAAAGCACCAAACAAAGCACACTGCTTTCATGCCAAAAAAACACCCTTTCATGGCTTTTCACTGCCCCCTAGATAAAATAAAATCACCTTAAGACAAAATCCTTTTGATCTGGTTCCAGTCTACCACATCTCTGCCCTTCTACTCACACCTCTCCCACATACTCCCAGGGAAAGGGAATTGGTGCTCTGATGCTGCCACATTTAGATACCCAGAGCTTCCTCTGCTGGGGATTTCCTTCCCTCCAACACTCCTCCTCCTAGGACTTGTCTAAATTCTACCTCTTTTAATAAACCCCTGCTCATATCCCATCTTGGTTAATAGGCCTCTGACATAGTGCTTTTAAGAAACAGTAAAAGTTTTGCTTCTCTTAGAAAAATGGTCCTTGAGCATGACAATGAACTCTAATGTCAATTGGGGGATGAAGGTAATTAGCATGATCAAAAGAGCATGGGATATTTTACGATAAAATGTAACCATCCATGCAAATATTAGAAATATATTTCTTAAATTTGAGACTTTATAAGGATCACAGGCAATGGTTCTTGTAAAAATCAAGGGTTTGGAATGCTATTACAATGTATATTTTTTCTCACATTATTTTAATAAGTGACATAAATACAATACATATTAACAGATGTTCTCATATATTGTTTTCCCCTCAAAAGAGACTCTTCAACAGTGATGTTCAGTTCTAAGTGTAGTATTCACTAATGTTATATATCTTAACTTTGTTGATACCTTTTTCCATGAAAAAATGCTAACATTACTTAATTTTGTTGGTACGGGATGTGTGACAGGTACACAGGTCACAGTAGTTACTATTCTCAATCTCAACCTCATTATGATTTAAAAGACTGTATAGAAGTTAACAGCAGATGTAGAAAAACTTAAGGAGAAAAGAAATCTAAGGATTTATAATTGGAATAGTTCAAAGGGAAGTTGGAACAACAATATCATGAAGTCAAAAGGATTTGAAGCAGTAGCAGAGATTCTTCTGCTGGCCTTGCAGAAGTAAACAAACATGCTATAAATTGACTAGTGTGGGGGTAATGCAGTAAGGACATTAAGGCATCTAGCAGCTCTTACCCAGGCAACACAGAAGCAAAAAAGACATGAACTTCAGCTCTACATCATGAGGAAATGGATTTTGCTAACAGTGAGTGAGCTTGTAAGATGACTGACTGCAAGTTTCTCAGGCAAGAATATAGCCCTAACCAAATTCTTTTTTTTTTAAAGATTTATTTATTTATGCAAACAAGAACTGGGGTACAGGCCAGAGGTGTGGAGGATGAGAGGATTCACCAGAAACAGAGTGGGGAACAGAACAGGCAGATTGACTGAAATACACTGCTGAAGAGAGCAGTGGGTGAGACCAGGAGAGGTCTGCTGTGCCATATGGGTATCTCCTTAGCCGGGGATTGAACTCGTGCTGCAGTGGCTACAGATAGCTTCATAGGTTATGTCTTAACCCCTTGCACCACCAAGGAGGTCCCCTAACCAAAATCTTGAGTTCAATATGGAGACCTTGAGCAGAGACTCCAACTAAGCAGTGCTTGGACTCCCAACACACAGAAACTTTAAGATAAATAAATTTGCATTTTTAAGTCACTGACTTTGTGGTAATTTATTAAACAGCAATAGAAGAGCAATACATCATGATTCATAACCAATAAAATATTGTTCTTACATGTATCTGCATATAAATCTTGTTTAATCAAATAAGCGTTTTCTCACAGAATAACATGGCCTTTTCTATATTATCTAGCAAGTAAACTTCCATTTTCATGAAATCTGGATGCTTCAAATTTATTACAAAACCATTTTATCTCTGAACTTTGGTTTGATTCAAAATACATCTGGAAGAGAAAAAAGAATCTAAAAATATATTTTCTTAATTTTTTGGAATTATATTTTAAAAACTTACTATTTCAGAAAATACTATAATTTCATGCTTAGAAAAAATATACATTTAACATTTATTTCTCATTTGAGAAGTTATGTTAAAATATATATTATGAATATATCACATTGTATATTTACAAATTCACTCATCTTGTGACTATTTTCATACAATATGTACTATGTTCAGAAATATGAGACCAATTTCACAATCAAAAAGTTATATAAGATTATAAATAATGGGGTTTTCTGGTGGTGCAAGGGGTTAAGATGCAACCTATGATGCTGTCAGCACCTTCTGAAGCACGAGTTCAATCCCACAGCCAGCCAGGGAGCAACCCACATGGCACAGCAGACCTCTCCTGACTCATCCTCGCCCGCTGCTCCCCTCAGCAGTGTACTTCGGTCACTCTGCCGTTCTGTTCCCCATTCTGTCTCTGGTGAATCCTCTCACCCCTCACACTTCTAGCCTGTACCCCAGCTCTTGCATGCATAAATAAATAAATCTTTTTTAAAAATTATCAATAATAAGTTCTGTAACATAACAGTCTAATTTTCATAGCTAAATCAGTCATCTAGCAAGTCTGGGGAGTTTGGTGAGACTGCCTATCATACAATTACAGGGTAAAATGAACTGCCATCTAGGATTTTCAGAATTTAACAATAAAAATTTTCTTCTATGCTTTTTTATCAAACAGGAAATTTGTAATTAAATAAATTCATAAATACCCAAAAAAGAGTGTCATATTAAACACCCAGAAGAGAGTTTCATTTGTCAGCTGTTTATTAAAACTTTCTGGCACAATTCCAAAAAAGTTTGATCTTTTAAAAAGAAATCTACTTTAAGTTAGCCTACCTTCCACAGTCAAAGTTCCCATTTTAGATTCCAAAAAATCAAATAATGTGCTTGGTGCTGATGGTCTTGCATTTCCCAGTTCTTCTTCATCTTCAGATCTTATTCGACCCCTGCCTTTTCCTTTACCTTAAGTAAAGCAAGACATATATATTGTACATGCAAAAAACAAAACATAATTAGCAGTCATCTTAAATAGTATTCTGTATAAATTTCTTTTCATATTTTCTTATATTCTACATCTTCCATAATGTTTTACATTATTATATTAACTAGCACCTTTAATTGTCTAAATGATTTACCTAGAAATTTTAATTTGTTCATGTAAATTATCTTCTAAGGAAAAACAAATCATTTTTATAACATTTTACTTTAACCAGTTATTTTAAAAAGAATACAGAATTAGACCTTGAAATACCACAAAGTATGTTTAAGGTGATGTGCTATTCTAACAGATATGGGTTTCAGTCTGCCTCCTTGCTTGTCCCCCACCCCCATCCTACTCCTGCCATTGAGTCCTGTCTGTGCTGCTGGTTCCTGGTACCTGTCCAAACAGGGGACTTCAGTCACCCTCACCAAGAACAAAGGCTTTGTGTGTGCTACAGTATTAAATCTTGACTCACCACTTCCTCTTATAAGGTGTTGGGGGCTACTTGTAACATTCCCATGTAAATTTTATGTAAACCTCTCCAATATAAAGGTGTTCAAAATGAATTTCAGCAGACAATGGGTTAGTCTAAGGAATAAATGAACTCTACCATCATTTGCATTCTCCTCTCTCTCCAACATCTTGATCCTGGTCCTAGAAACCAGAATAAGTCAAAAGCAGCCCCCTTTGCCTGAGGCAAAGTGAGTTGGTATTCAGTCCTGAGACATCATGTACTCAGGATAGAGAAAAATATATCTTTATGAATGGGATCAGAATAGGAGGCAAGGCGGGGTGGCTTGTGCTGTGCTACCCTTTTCTGTAATTCCAGTCATTTTGAAAATAGCACTTGCTGAAAGTCCACCAATGATCACCACCCTGGTTTTGATTGTACCCTTTACTCCTACTCTAATCTGTTCTGTCTAGGGGAGATGAGGCGATTGGTTCAGAGTTTTGAGTTTGTTATTTTGCTAGATGAGCACTCCAGTTTTCTTTCCAATGAAGGAAAGAAACTACTTCATTCCCTTCATTTCAATTTCAAAATAAAAGGAAACACATTGAAAGCAACAAAAAAAGAAAAATCACATAATATATTCGACCATGCAATGATTAAATAATAACACTAAATAAAAAGTCATGTACCTGCTAATCTTACAGGCTAATTAGTCACTTGTACAAGTGGCACAATTATAGAAATAATTAATAGAACTGAGCACTTTATATTTTCTCTATTACTCATAACAATATAAACTATATAAGATTATTAGACTAACTTTATACAAAGTGAAGACTGTGAGACTCAGAGTAACCAATACAAGTCTCTGTGGATCCAAACTGTTGTTTTCTCTACTTACTACAGTGGCAAATGAAATTACAGTCCTCAAAGCAACAAACTCCAATCTTTCAATAATATACATTCCTCTGAAAAGAAACAATACTACCTGGCACACTGCTTAATGAATTATACCTCTCAGTGGTGGACCTGTAACAGGTTTTTGTTTATTGCTGTTAAGAAGTACATTCAAAGCTGCTTCTAAGTTGTTGCCATTATCCATAAGAGCTTGCCTCGATGCTTCCTTACTGAAGCCCATTTCAGTTATGTGTTTCAGAGCCTTTTCATCAACCTTTAAGGAATAAAGATAAAAAAGCTAAGCTGATATATAAAGCAAGATAAAAGTTTTTAACTACATATATGTATATATTTTTAAAAGATATATTTATTTTTATACAAGAACTGGGGTACAGGTCAGAGGCACAAGAGTGTGAGAGGATTCACCAGAGACAGAGCAGGGAGCAGAACAGGCAGACGGACCAAAAGCACTGCTGAGGGGAGCAGTGGGCGAGACAGGAACGGTCTGCCGTGCCATGTGGGAATCTCCCTGGCCGGCCGGGAATCGAACCCGCACTGCAGAGGCTGTGGACAGCTTCACAGTGCAGCGATCAACCCACTAAGCCACCAGGGAGCCCCTATATATATATTTTAAATAACAATAACATGTCATGCTTATGAAAAAAATTTCATAATAATACAATATTTACTTGCTGATTTTTCAATACCAAAAGTCAAGGAAGACTATATGTTATGTGGGGCAGTGCCTTCACACTGACTTCTAAAGTATCATTACAAATACAGAATTTTAAAAAGGGAAATTTTATAATATGTCAGAATAAAACTTTTGAAAATTGTACAGTGAAAACTACCTAAAGATAATTTTTTATGGTTGATAGTTCTTCATACAAGAAAGAAAGTGTTATTTATATAGCACCTCTCCCAAAAGTGCAAAGTATAAAATAAAAATGACAAAACAGTATCATCTCAGTGGCTTACTTTTTTTCAATGTTCTGCTGTTTTCAGTATTCTACTCTATACTCATCAGCAGTACTATCTATGATGTTTTGACAGCCTGCACCCCAAACAGGAACATTCACTTTACAATGCCTGAACCCAAAATTTCCTTTACAAATCTAGACATGAGAATTTAAGAACTGTTTAAGTACATAAACATATCCCATGAAGAAATTCTTTGAACCATTTTCAGTCAGAGAATATATACTAACATTTGCAAATCTAAGAATTAACATGAATAGGCTTTAAGAAAATATATACACAGCATGCCTGTTGGCAGACACTGATACTGTGTAGAGATTAACAACGCATGACACATATTCCTAAACCCTAAATGTATCCTACTAAATGCAGAATACTTTATAAAACACCCTAACAATTATCAAGAGATCAGATTTGACATATGAGAAAATCCACATCCCTGCTATAAATATGTTAAAGTAAATATAATAAGGATTAAACATCAAAACTATATATCCTTATTCAAAAACTAATCCGAATTTAGAAAATAATCAAACCTCCCAAAACCTTTCCCTCTCTCAATTATCTTTCAAATAAATATATAATTAAGACTATTTTCCCATACATAGAATGTTACCAAAAGTATTTTAATGATCAATTTTTAATGACAATTTTAATTTTAGCTGCCGTACTTGCATATTAAGACAATTACTTTAAATTCTGTGTTTAACAAATCCAATATTAGTGTATTTCTGGACTTCTTCAGGAATGTTTGCTATCAATTTCTTATTTTTAACCAATGAATGAGTCACACTTTCCTGCCTTTTCTGATATACTTCATGATTTTTTGTTGAGAATTAGACATTCTGAATAGCGCAATGATGGCAATTTTGAAATTCTAATTTTCCTTCCTCTCCCAAAATTGCTGCTGCCACTTGATGGTTACAGTTTTAAAGTTTAGTGACTTTCCAAACTTTCTTTACAAGGATTATGAAATATGTAGTTTGTGATCACAGTAGTCTCTATTCCATTATCTCTGTGGACAGCTAGTGAACAGCCTTTTTTCGTCAGCCCTAGTGTAGATGATGAGTGTCTGACTAGGCTTCAGTTATAAAAATCACTGATTCAGACAGCGCTTGCTTGTTAGGCACAATAGTTGCTTTGGTGGAGGGGTCAATTTCTGAAGTTTTCTATGTTATCATCATTATAATATCACTCTCTTCATATTATTTTTAATCTTGACAACAACTGTTTCAAATTGCTGGTCTCTGATGTTCTCTGGAAATTCTAAGAAAAGTATTACCAATTTACTCAAGTTTAAGAATTCACTGAGTTAAGGACTTGCCTTTTTCAGCTCACTGTATGTACTCTAATCTGAAAACTAGACTTTTTTTTTAAATTAGTCACAGTCAATTAAAGGCCAGCTTTGTCCAAGATTATAAAGTTGTTCTCCTTAGTCTGATTAATTTCAGAGTGGTCATGTGACTTGGTTTTAATCAATAAAACATGATGGAATCTGTTGGAGATTTCAGAAAATATTATCTTGTCTGACAAAACAGACCAAAACCTAGAGAAATGTCCCCCTTCTCTTCATGTTTTTGGACTTTCTGCATAAAAATTTAACTTTTGAAGAATCTTTTAAGCTTGAGAAGAAAGCAAGAAATCATCTGAGCACTAACATTATACTGCTGATTTTATCAACCTTTATAGTTATCTACCTCTAAACTACTTATTTGAGAAGATAAATTTCAATTATTTAAGCTAATCCTAATATTCTGTACTCTACAAACAAAATCATGCAAATTCATTCAATCTCTAAGGCAAAGAAAAATGGATTCTTGTCAGTTCTCTTATATCTGAAAATAATGCAAAACAACAGAAATATGTTTCATTCCTCACATTTATATTAAAGTCCAGGTATATTTTTATAATCCAGTCTATAACGTACATGTGGTTGTTTCAGTACATGTTTCCCAAGAACAAAACAAAATTGCTTAGAACACAGTTTGATAAAAGATGTGGGGAAGGATAGGAAAGGTCAGCTATCTATAGGTTTTTTATGCACCATCATCATTTAGGATATAATTTCCACTGAGTGCTTTCTATTTCATTTGGTGACTTTTGATCAATCCAGTTAAGAAAAATCATGCATTAAAAATTTAACTAAATGGAAGTTTTAAATATTTTCCAAATAATTCAAATTTCAAATGAATTAATTTTAATTCTTAATGAAAGCCTTCTTAGAGATATAACATTTACCTATAATACAGTAAACAAAGCCAGCGTTGGTTGTGAAAAAGAATTAAAAAATTATCAAGGCAGGCCTCCCTGGTGGTGCAAGGGTTTAAGACGCAACCTAGGAAGTTATCTGCAGCCAGTGCAGCATGAGTTTGATTCCCGGGCAGGGAGCTACCCACATGGCACATGCACAGCAAACCTCTCCTGCCTTGCCCACTGCTCCCCTCAGCAGTGTATTTCAGTTGGTCTGCCTGTTTTGTTCCCCACTCTCTCTCTGGTGAACCCTTTCACCCTCCACACTTATGGCCTGTACCCCAGTTCTTGCATGCATAAATAAATCCTTAAAAAAATTTATCAAGGCTATTAAATATTAAAGGAAGAACAAATTAACTTTGTGGTCAATTCTTTGGCCTCACCAGTTCTCTGTAGACACCTTCATGCTTCCCCTCTGATTTGGTTGATTTTTCTTTCTGTAAAATTTCCCTATTTCGGTTACCAGCAGTATTCATGTTGAGATTACTTCTAGCACCACCACCACCACCTCCAAATGTCTTGGTCTTTAAATAAAAGAATGATAAAGAGTAAGTAAACAGCATTTAAAAATACTTTTAAAAATTTGATTTTTAATAAAGATAATGATCAATATTTTAAGGGACTTTTAAATGATTTTAGTATGATAACATCCTACATATAAATTTATAAAATACTGGGAAATTAATCAGAATAAATTAAAATATAAAAAAGCAGGACCTGAAAGATAGGAAAATGATATTGGATGAGCACTAATGGACAATATTAAAATATCTCAAGTCAAACAGATATAAGAGAATTCAGGAAAGTTAATCAAAGAGATAAAACAAAACTCAGCAAAAGAAATGAATGACCTGAGAAATAAAATTACCTGAAAATAGAAACTGAAGTTAAAAATATGGAAATAACAGAGACTTGGAAATAACAGAGACTTGGGATGCAAAAAAATGAGAAAAAAAGGGAAGGAATAAATACGATAAAATAAGAAATACAAAGATAGTAAGATAGTAATGCACAACAAATCCAGGTAGAAGAAGAGATGCAAAGAAAAAAATAAAGAAATAGAAGACAGTAGGGAACAGAGAACTCATTTAAAGAAATACTAGAGGAAGAGTTTCAAATCCTGTCAAGGAACTAAATCTACAAGTCCATACAGCTTAAAGAACACCTTGTCATCTAAATGCAATGAGACCTAAGCAAGACATGTAGTCATGAAGCATTGAGAGTTCAAGATAAAGAAAGACTATTGAAGATGGCCAGAGGGGAAATAAAAACAAATAACCCATAAAGGCACCCCAGTAAGGTTTATATCTGTCTTCTCTGAAGAAACCCAATAAGCAAGGAAAGAATAGAATGACATATTCAAATCACTTAAAAGAAAAAAACTGCCAGCCAAGAATAGTACATCCTGTAGACTCCTTCAGAGATGAAAGAGAGAGAAAGTCCTTCCCAGATAAACTGAAGATGAAGGAGCTTGCAACTTTAGAGCTCCCATAAAGAAATGTTGAAAGGAGCTCTCCTATCTAAATCAAAGAGAAGAAAATTCATGAAAAAATTAACAGGGAAATAAATAGAAACAGAAAACCGAGGAGAAAACATCAGTAACAGACCTTCATATGTCAGTATTCATTCTAATGTAAATGGATTGAATGGTTAGTTGGATCAGAAAACAAAATCCAAATTTCTGCTGTCTCTGAGTTCCACAGATAAACATAGGCTCAAAGTAAATGGCTGGAAAACAATCCTAAAACCAAAAGGGACCCCCCAACAACACAAGGACAGCCAAGCTTATATCAAATAAAATAAACTTCCAGTTAAGAAAGGTAACAAGAGACAGGGATGGACATTATATAATGATTAGGGGAACAATGCACCAAGAAGACATACACTCATGACCATGTATTCATCAAACTAAGGATATCAAAATATATAAGGCAACTATTATCAAATCTGAAAAGACATTGGTAACAATACAAATTGGGGGGAGGAGGACTTTAACCCCACACAAGATCCAATGGACAGATTAACCAGACAAAAAATAAACAAAGGAAAAAAAGTCTTAAACAAATAATTAGACCACATGGCCTTAAGAGAAATTTATAGGGCACTGAACTCCCCCCTGCCAAGAAAAGCTAAATACACATTCTTCTCAAGTACAAATAGGACATTATCAAGAATGTGTAGACGAAATATCAGTTTACAAAACAAATGTCAAAAATTCATGAAACTGAAATCAAATCAAGTATCTTAGGTAATCACAATGGTATTAAACTAGAAATCAACCACATAAAGAGAGTAGGAAAAACTAACATGTGGAAACTGAAAAACACACAACTAAATGGCTACTGGATTAAATGACCAAACAAAAGTAGAAATTAAGGGAAAAAAACCTCGAAATAAACAAAAATGAAGATACAATCTACCAAAATGTATGGGATAGGACAAAATAGGACTAAGAGGGAAATACACAGCAAATCTGACTATAGAACTGAGGTTACCCAGAGCGGGAGGAGAAGGATGATAAGCAAAGTATGGAGGGTACCCAATGGACCAAAGTGGAGAGCTATGGGTGCTTTCAGGGTGTATATGATGTGGTAACAAACATCTGAACACATGATCCTATGCATATGAATCATATACACTGTTGTAAACCAATATTACTTCAGCAAAATTAACTAATTTAAAAATGTAGATCAATGATGATACTGCTATGACTAAAAAGCCTTCTCATTTCTCTCTGAATAAAGGCCAATGTCTCTAAGATGGGTTATAGGGCACTACATATCAAGTATTTTATTTGATCAATGGTATCGAACTGACCTCCATTATAACGCTTGACTTTATATATATAATATATATAATATATAATGCTTGACTAATCCTAACATGGTCATCTTGATATCACTGAATATATACTTCTGCTCTACAATCTTGCAATCTTCTCCTTGGGACACGCCTTACAGGTAATCAATTAGCTAATTTTATTATCTCCATCCACCTAATGAAATTACTATATTAAAACTGATACAGTTGTTGAAAGTTATTGAAAAGTTATTGAAAGTTATTGAAAAGTTATTGAAAAAGATGCCATCTATTTACTTAGTATGTTTATATTATTTACTGTCTTTATAATATAAAACTACATAGAATTTCAAAGTACTCTCAATTTCTCACCATCCTCTTTTAATTGCAAATGCCTTCATCCCTTCACCCAATTTGATGCTCCCAAACCTTCATACTACTCTTTTCCTTTTTTGCACAGTACTTGCCAGTTTCTAACCTACCGTATATATTATATACTTCTTATATTAATAGACTGTCATCTTAACTAAAATATTAGCAGTATAAAGGCATCTTTGTTTATTTTACTCACTGATTTAAGCATTTAAAACACTTCCTGACATATATATAGTAGGTTCTGAGAAAGTGTTTACTGAGTGAAAGAAAAAAGAAAAAAGGAATAAAAATTTTCACTTATTTACAGTAGATTCCACCAAATCCATACAAGTGTTTAAATGGATGATCATAAGACATCTTCTCAAAACAATTACTCCCTCATGTGATTTTGCTATTAAGATATTCAGTGTAAATATAAATATGTGCGTACACTAATCTACATAGAGAAATACAGATACAATTTCTTGCTGCAATACACATAGGTTTAGTCCTATAATTGTTACTGGGTAATACTGGTGAAGTTGATTTAGATTTGAACTTCCATCAACTCTTTTTGGGGAAGAAAATTGGAGGAAAGTATAATCAAAAGAACAACTTTCCTACAATCATAAAGAAATTGATATCCTCTTCTGAAATTCCATAATTTTAATAGCTTCTTGGGGAAGAAGAAATACATTTCATGTAAACTAGGTAAAATGCATTCATTTTAGAAATATTAAAGATGATTTTTAATGTGTCTTAGATTAGAGGAAATGTTGAAGAGTAGCAATGACAGTATATATTGAACCTTTCAACAAAAAAATATTATGAGCTGTACCATGCAATATTTAAAAATATCAATTTTAATTCTCATAGTAAATGAAGTAGGGATCATTAACTCTGTCTCATAAAGAAAGAAAAAAAAAAAAAAAAAAAAACAGGGAACAAAAAGCACCCCTACATTAGGCTGAGATATACAATAAAGGAAGAACCACCAAAATTCAAGAAGAAAACCAGTTTTCAATAAGAAAGTTGTCATTATCTAAAATTCACTGCTGGTTTTGAATAAAGGAAACTATTTCAATTTCACTGGTTAAAAGTTTCTGTGCAACTGTTTTATAAACTAAAATTTCTTATTGAGGTGTAAAAATCGTTAAGGAAAACACATTTCAAATAATAAAGAAATCAAAAACAAAAAAAAAGTGGTTATTAATAGTTTATGATTATATGTTTGTATGTGTATAAATACACATATAATTCAAAGAGAAAAGGTATATTTTACTATCTGTTAAAAAGATTTAAGATGAAAACAAAAAAATGTTAATTAATCCTGAGTTACTTATTTACCCTCTGACTTTTACTAGGACTCTTCAGATACTGTTAATATTATAGGAAAATTATCCTCAAAATGTGACAACTAGCCCAACTAGTAATAGGAAACTTGCACAATAAAAAGGGTTGGTTCAGTCTAACAGCTGTTAGACTGTTAAAAAGAAAATAGAGAGAAAAGCTTTGTTTGTAAGCAGGAGTAACTTAATGGAAATGACAGAGATTTGGAAAAGGAACATTAGCAAACTATAACGTAAAACTCCATAAAATACCAATGCATTACCTTAAAAAAAAAGACAATTATGATTACGATTAATCTAAAGAGAACAAGACAAAAAGAGAAGTTTAAGATTTAGTTTCTTACTTCTTTGCTCTTGGCAACTTCTGCAATAGCAGCAGTCCTTTGTTTTTCAAATTCATCATTATCATTTGTAGGTTTGACAGGCATGGTAACTTGCAAAGTCTTTCTTTGATCAAGTTCTTTGCTATCCACTTGGGCATGAGATACACACTTCTGGTAATTTAAAATAATAAATTTTTTAAGATCTCTTTAGTAGTTCCAAAGGAGATTAAAATTTCTCATAAGAAAGCAATATTTTAAAAAAAAGTATCACAACAGTTGAGGTCCATAAAAATATCATTCTTTCCCATAGATGTACAAATAAAGGCAAAACCTGATTAAAGTAACTTCTAAATAAATATAACTAGTAAATAAAAAGAAAACTTACACAAAAACATTGTCATCTAAATAAGTGCACATATGTAAAAGAAAATGAATCAAGTGGTCTAAGTTCCATTTTAGAGTACAGACAAAATAATTTTAAACTTTAAACAACTTATAATACTGTGTAAAAGGTAAATTACATTTTTTAATTAGGAGCTTACTATCCACATTATGCAACAATATTCACATGACAGTTTATAATATAGTTACTTTAAGATGTAAAAAGATGTCCCTGAGTTTTTGAAATGAAAGTTAAAAACACAGCTTGTTCTTTAATCTGGCTGCAAAGTTTATTTTTAGTCTTATAAAATAAAGGAAGCCCTCAGTGACAAAAAATAATCCCTGAATTCTGTTTTCCCTTCTAATCCTAACAGTAAAAATTCCCAAAGTGAGCCTCTCAACTCAATTTTAAAAAAAAGACTCTCAAACAAACCTGCTCTATAAAGATTTATAACAACATAAATATATCCTGTTGATACCAACACATAAACAGCATTATCTCGTGTACAAGGCTAAAATATGTTGGATTACATTTTTTTAAGAATGTACTTAGAAACAAATAAATTACTGAGACTTTAACTTTCAATATTGTTCCTAACATTAAAAAAGCTATATATAACAAATTTGAAATTCTTTTTTTCAATTCTTAAAAACAATAAGTCTGAGCAATTTATCAACGAAATACTATCATCAAAATGTTAATGGTAAAGAAACTTTTTCTATTTATTATTTTTAAATACAAATTATTAGAATTTTTTACACTATTTTTACTCTGGAGATTTTATTGCACTGGTAGATGTGAGAATTATATCAACATGAATCATAACATAGGGTATCATGCTTCCTTTTATCTGTATTATCCCTTGTTGCAAAGCAAAATAAAAATCAACACATTTTTAAAGATAGCCAAGACCCAAGAATGGCTTTAACTTTGAATAGATTAGGGGCCTCCCTGGTGTAACAAGGGGTTAAGCACCGCACTATGAAGCAATCCACAGTCTCTGCAGCACCACTTCAATCCCCGGCCAGTCAGGGAGCAACCCACATGGCGCAGCAGACCTCTCCTGACTCGCCCGCTGGCTCCCTCAGCAGTGTATTTTCAGTAGATCTGCCTGTTCTGCTCCCAACTCTGTCTCTGGTGAATCCTCTCACCTCCCCCCTGCATCTCTGGCCTATACCCCAGCTCTTGTATGCATAAATAAGTAAATCTTAAAAAAAAAAAAAATAAATAGACTACACAGAAAGGGTTTTGAAAACAATGTCAGACAACAGATCCTATCTACTAACCTTCTGATCAACTAGATTTGTTCTTCATTCCCAGTTAAAAAAAAATGTTATGGTGATAGAGATCTGTTTCCTACCTATTGTGTCCCCAGCTCATTTTATTCTGAGATAGCACTCTCAAAGAAAAAAAAAAGACCAAATCTAAGACAAATTACCAATAGCTAAATTTTAGTGACATCATAGGTTAAAGAGCAAGCTGCTACTGGTATCACTATCAGGCTTGTGAGGAATAAAGCAGGAAAAGTCTGGAGCTGATTGTTTTGAATTAATTTTATGAGCACAGCCAGGAAAAAACAAAATATTGGCCAGCTAAAGAACTAGCTCAAGGTAACATTCTGCAGCATGAGGGAAGTTGAAAAATAGGAAGTATAGAGAAAACCTTTAGCTTATGCGAGAGAAGGATTAAATTAGGGCAGCCATGGTTAAACAGGAAAATACCAATTATAAGTAAAATTAAGTCTCTGAGATGGGTATTTGAATCATGATAGAAGAATATAAACTTGGAAGGATCAGGTGAGACAGAAGAACTTCCAAAAGCACAATGATGCCCTTATTTGTCTCTAATGCTCTCACCTTTATATCTCATCCTTTTGTTGACATTATTATAGCTCTCTTTTCTTTTTACTGAACAAATTAACAAATTATAACATATTTTTGTCCTCTTGTTTTTAGAATTTCTTTCTCAAAAAAAAAAAAAGGTCCCACTATCATCTTAATTATGTTGCTTTTCAGGTATGCCTCTTAATTTTTTTCAATCTTTAGGTAACAACTGTTGTGAAAATAATCTATACCAACAATTTAATTACAGTAAAGAAAACAATTATTATATTCCTATACCTAATATATTTCCATATAATTCCTATGACCCCTGAATAAATAATCTGGCACAAAACTAAACAAAGGTTGAATACAAGTGAAAAATACTTTTGCTGATTAAAATTCACCTGTCAACATTAAAGTCATTACCTGTCCAAAAGGCACAAATGGAGGAGGTCCACCCTCAGTTCCAATATTGCTTCTACTGTGTTTTGACAAGCTCTGTAAGAAAAATGAGTCACACAACAGAAATTATAAATTAAAAATGTATTTACAACATGTACAATGAACCAAGAATTCACTTATTTATTACAAGAAGCTAGAAAAAAATACTTCTATAAATTATTTCAGAACATATAAGAAATTTTATTCCTAACCTCAATAAATCAGGCAAAGAAATCTCCCCTCATCTCCTTTTAACAAAATACACATTCACATTCAATTTACAAAAAAGTATTTGGCATGCTGCTCCCATGAGATTTTTTTTATCTCTACAAAAACTTAACATAGAACTTCTATTATGATCTCAGTGATTTTACTTCTTGAGATATACTAAAAGAACTGAAAGCCGTAATGTGAACAGGTATTTGTATACCCATTTTCATAAAAGCATTATTTACAATAGCCAAAAGGTGAAAACAACTCTAATGTTTATAAATGGATGAACAAAATGTGGTATGAATATACACATATATATTTAACAAAAACTCTTTATATTAGACATAATATATACATACATATTCAATGGCATATTACTCAGCCTTAAAAAGTGAGGAAAATTCTGACACATACTGCAACATGGATCCAGGGATGAAACTTAAACACATTAGATTAAGTGAAATAAGCAAGATACAACTGGACAAATATTGTATGAGTCCACTTATTTTTTTTTTTAAGATTTATTTTTATTTATACAATAGCTGGGGGTACAGGCCAGAGGCGCAGGAGGGTGAGAGGATTCACCAGAGACAGAGTGGGGAACAGAACAGGTAGACGGACTGAAAGCACTGCTGAGGGGAGCAGCGGGCGCGACAGGAGAGGTCTGCCACATCATGTGGGTTTCTCCCTGGTTGGCAGGGAATCTAACCCACGCTGCAGAGGCTGCGGACAGCCTCACAGCGCTGTGCTCAACCCGCTGCGCCACCGAGGAGGCCCTGTATGAGTCCACTTATATGAGGTATTTAAGAGTAGTTAAATTCATAGAGACAGAAAATGGAATAGTGTTTACCAGAGTGTGTGGAGGAAGTAGGTAGAGGAGGGGAAGAAAAGAATACTGTTTATTGGGTACAATTTGTTTGGAAAACAAAAAAAATTGTGATGACTGTGCATTAGGATGAATGTACTTAATTTTACCATATTTATACTTGAAATGGTTAATGTTAAATTTTATGTTATGTATATACTCTATTGCAAAAAAAACAAAACAAAACAAAACAAAACTACATGGCGGGGGTGGAAGATTGGTCAGGCAGGCACCAAAATGTTACATAACTATACTACTCTGCAAATTGCATCTACTATAGAACTTTCTTTTTTTTTTTTTTAAAGAATTTTTTTTTTTTTAAAGATTTATTTATTTATTTATTTATATAAGCGCTGGGTACAGTCAGAAGCGCGGGAGGGTGAGAGAATTCACCAGAGTCAGAGCGGGGAGCAGAGCAGGCAGACGGACGAAATACACTGCTGAGGGGAGCAGCGGGCGGCAGGAGAGGTCTGCGCGCCATGTGGGACCCTCCTCTGGTGGCTGGGGAGCAGCCGGGGATCGAACTGGTGCTGCAGAGGCTGCAGGCAGTTTGGCAACCCAGTGCTCAACCGCTGCGCCACCGGGGAGGCCCTACTATAGAACTTTCTAAAACTTCTTTGTCAAACATACTAAACACTTTGAGATATGAATTTTTCCCTTTTTTTCCCACTAGTCTATAAGCAACGTATTACAGATATAAGGCCTGTACATACTTTTAAAAGCTACCCAATATTCCTTTCCCTATAACGATTTTATAAGAATGATTAGGGAAATCTTATTCTCAAATTCACTCTCTGCTTTATGATTTTCTATGTGTACATTTGATTTCTATGTGTACCACCTTGCCTGATGCTCAAGTAACTGAACTCTCCATAATTTCTTCATTGCTATGGTTACTAAATCAAAAATTATAAAAATAATAGAGAACTATAATCATATAAGTGTACATTTTTATTGTCTCCCAAACAAAAAATACTAAGATGGTTTGCAGGTAACAAAGTACAAAGATATGTAATAAAATATTACAAACACAACTGTTAATTACCAGTAGTATGTGTGTGCATACAATTAAGGGTAAGTTCATGTTTACTTATTTTACAGTTAGTAAGGTAGTTCTGAATGGGTTCATAAAATTAAGTAAGGTGTTAATCTGCCTTGAGAATATCTTACCATACTTTAAAATATATTATTTATTAATTTTTGAAAAAATAAAGGATTTCTCTTGGAAATTCAAAGTTATAAATTTGGCTATTTATGTGAAAATATCAAGCCACTTAAGGATTATCTCTTAAAGTTAGGTCTTTGATCCAGTTTATTTGTGGTATAAGGATCCATCTTCATTCTTTTGTACGTGAATATCCAGTTTTCCAAGCACCAATTTTGAAAAGATTCTCCTTTCCCAAATGAATGAATGGTCTTGTCAATCATGCCAAAAATTATTTGACCTTATATGTAAGAGTTTATTTCTGAATTCCCTATTCTATTGGTCTGCATATCTCTCTTTATGCTCAAAGCACATTGTTTTGATTAATGTAACTTTGTAGTAAGTTCTGTAATTGAGAAGTGTGAGGCTTTTTTCAGGATTTTTTTTTTTTTGACTATTCAGTCCCTGGAGATTCCAGATGAATTTTAGGATCAATCTTTTTATTTCTGTAAAAAACATTCTTGGGATTTTGATAGGCATTGCACTGACTCTGTAGACTATATTAACAATATCAAATTCCAATCCATGACCATAGGTTGTCTTTTAATTTATTGGTATCTTCTTAAATTTCTTCTAGCAATCTGAATTACTTGCTTTAGTAACATTTTCAACTAAACAATGCAGTAAGGAACATATCTTGTATTGCTGAGCTTAGCAGCCTACAGTATAGCACACTATGATCATAAGAATGAGTATAAGAAATGTTCTTAAATCTCCTTATCTATTTTCTTGCCAAGCAGAAGCACTTGGGAACTAAGAAAATAGAAAAGAATAGTGCATCATAAAATATTAAAAGTATTAACATATTGCTATGTTTACTGACTTACTTTAGACAATAGACAAGATTTAAGAGTGGTATAAGAACATGAATTTTAGCTCAAAGAATAATTAGCTCTATGTACTTTGTAACTCATTTCACAATTATTTAATATGATGTTTATTATATGTAATACTCAGGGCTACCACTCTGAAGATATAAAGGCTCAGACCCATTACCTATTAACATCTAATTATATGTTATTTAAACTTTCACAAAAGCATTTTATAATCTATATGGACATAATACTCCCTACTCAAGACTCAAGAGAGAATTACATGATTGACAGATGCAAGAAGCCAGGATAATATCTACACACTGGCTTAAAAATAGGGAAATTTTTTCTTGTTCAGAAGCATAACTGAAGAACACAAAGAGAATCAAAGAAAGAGAAACAGTCCTATTCAGCTATAATAAAATCTACATGAAATCACTTAGAAAGTTAAAAAAATAAACTGGAACTAGGTTGTGATTATAAATGGCCCTGAAACCCAACTTAAGGAATTTGAAATAAAACAGGGTATGAAGTGTCCTGAGTTATGAAGAAAGATAATCTGACTGAAGTATATAAAGTAAATTAGAAGATGGAGAAAGGATATGTGGCGGTGCTACTTAAAAGCTCATGTTGGAGTCAGGCAAGTGATGTTGGAATCAGAAGGCTATGAGATTTGACTGCAGGGGCTCAACAAAGTTTGTTGATAGAAGCAAAATTGAGGAATGATTACTCAATAGCTAGGAGGATGAAAGTATCATTATGACGAATGTAAAAACCATCAACTTATGTGAGTGGGAAAACAAATACACAAAGAACCCCTTCTTTATAAAGAAATTCTAACTTGGTTTCACTTACATGTATGTGTATATGCAGGTAAGACAAATATACATACATCACATTCATATACATACATAATTTGTTTATTGCAGAATTATACATAGATACATACACAGAGTTTATAACGTATCTTGGCAGCTTTGAAACTTGTCAGTAAAGAATATTTTTTTAATATGTAATAAAATATAAAAAAAATGAAAAAGGGCATCAGCTTTAAAGGGAAAATATGCTTAAACAAAGGTAGTTTCTACAAAGATCAGAGTTTTCCATTTTATTCAACTCTGACACAAAGGAATAATTTTACTATTCATTTTGGGATCTTCTTAAAATAGAGAATGCAATAAAAATAGAGTGTAACATTTTAAAAGTTCAAGCCATTCTTCTTAGTTTACACTTACTCTCTGCAACGCCCATTTCTCAATAAGGTGTTCTACTTCACCACCAAGAACGGTAGTATTAGAGTCATTCAAGAGAAGGAATCCATTTTTTATGTCCACAATGCCTGTCAGCTTAATTTTAGTTCCAGGTGGTGTATTCAGGCTAAGGTAAAAAGAAAAAAGAAAGAGAAAAAACACACTGAAGTTCCTTACCAAAACTAGAATTTAGTATTATTTTATGACCCAGTCAAATTCTCAAAACACACATATATGAAAACTACTTTTTAGAAGACTGGTTATACAGTATGACTGTATCACCAAAGAGGAAGTCAGAACGAGGTATAAGACTGTCATTTTGAATCTTAATGATAAAGAAATGAACTTCCATTTCCACATGTAGAAAAACTGTACACAATAAATATCACACATCACAAATTTGTGGTAAAGATAGAGTAAAAAATATGAAAGTACTGTTTCAACAATGCCATTTTGTACAAATATAAGATCTGTCCTTTTCCCCCTTAAGCTTTGACTGTACATTATAAAGTTTATAAAATTACCTGTGTATTTCAAAATTAAATTTCAGTTACAAAATCTGACTAGTAATAATATCCTAGAGACTTAACAACTTGAGCTACCATAATTCATACAAAATAAAGCTTTTTTAAGTATCTAGTTATAGAACAAATAAGAGTTACTTATTATAAAACATACTTTTCTATATAAGAAAACGTCAGATTTCAGGCAAATATTCACCATAACCCCATTTCCAAACACCAGAGGCAAGATACTTATCCTTCCCCATCAGCCTTTTGCTATAAGAAACAATGGAAGAAATACATTTCCTCTCACAGATTTATTTTAAAGTAAAAGCACATATATCAAGCTGATCCCACCTCTTCACACATACAGCAAGGAGTAAAACACTCCACATGGAAGACTAAACCAGAACACTTAAGGTGAATTAGAAAATCACAGTGAAATGGCTTTACACTGTTCAATTTAAAAGTTCATGGAGTTTACCATGAGTTGATATATGCAATATCAAATCAGTGAAAACACTGGTATCACTGGACTACTTTGAAAGATAGTTTATAATGATAAACAAAGATCCCATACAATATAAAAATTATCTGCTAAAAATTATTCTGAGAATCCCAAGTTTAATCATTCTTAATCATTACATGTAATTTACAGAACAAATGGTGATGACCAGCCTTATCTAACCTAAACTAACTAACCCTTAACTAGAGAATTCTGTGGTGGTAAATGTGGTAAACTTAGGACAATGTATATCATACTTCTGGACCCGCAACAAACTGAGGTTGTAGTTACTTACACTAAGTAAGTGAAGAAGTTTTCCCCAATATCAGGCAATCAGCAGATCTAGATTTTCATAACTCTATAGTCATTCTTTACAGATAAATAAAAAAATAAGTACCATGGATAGCAGGGGCAGTACTCTTTACTGCTAAAGAAACTACCAATGAATCAAATCATTTGCATAAGACCTAAATGTGTTCTTCAACACCACTTTTAGCCAAGTTTTTACAAATTGGTAAAACTGAAAAAATATCAAAATGTAGAACATTACACTAGGAATAAAAGATTTTGAAAATAGGATGCAAATTAGAGGCATTTAAAGGCAATAATTAACTTACAAAGTTAATCTGAAATCAGATAATGAGCTCATTTTAGTGTAAAACAAGTAATTTTTCTCAATCTCTTCTGAGTAGGTTAAGAGAAAAAGATATAAGCCTATATAAGATGAACTGACAATTTCATTAGGATAAACTATAGTTCTATTCCACAAAAGTACAAATAGGTGCTAAAATTTTAATGTAATTTTCACTACATTACCTTCAGGACTATACTTAATTCTTATTCAAAAGCAAGGTTTGGCTTAATTATCATGTTTTCATTGACACTACAAAGTGTCTTTACTCCATCTTCATTGCAATTTAAAAAAAAACAAAACACAGTGAGAAGTGGGATAGGAGGTAAGATATAAGAAAGAAAAAAGCACCCCAGAGAAATGCAAAACCAGTAGAGGTACAAATTCTACACTAGTTCCTGGTTTATATTCTCTCTAATAAGTTCTTCTACTTCCCTCTAAGAAAGCATTAACAAAACTTATTCTGAAATAGTCTCCCAAATTGTTCACATGTAAGAACAGTTCTGTAAGCTGTTATTTTTACAGCACCAAAAGTGGACATGCTACTTCAATGACGAGTGAATGAGCAAGTGGCAATGATTATTTCCAATTCCAAACTACAATAAATTCAGTAAAAGGCAGTGGACAGCATAAGGAACTCTCCTTTGGATTGATCTTGTGTTTTCATTTACCTCAGAGAAATATACACTATTATGTAAAATCAGAGAATGAGCCTTTATAAGGCAAGTCTTCCTTCTGAGTTATCTGTAAATTCCCTTGTAGGGGAGTCTGACTGAATTTGTCAAAGGTGATTGAGATTCTAAATATAAGTAGGAATCCTATTCCTCAAAAAGAAGACAACATAATCACAAAGTCAATCAACTGAAATTGTTGATAAAAATCAACATTTTAGATAAGCATGCATCTTCTAAGGAAGGAGCCTCTCTCACCAGAGACAGACACTGATTTAAGGAAGAAAAAAAAAAAAGAAGAAAAATCATCTGAACCTGGCATATGAGGCTTCAACTAAACACATTTCCTTCCACAAAGCACAATCCCAAATCACCTAAACACTACCAAATGGAACTTTTCAATCATCTGCTGTCAGGACAGTGTCTTAGCATATGCTATTCCCCTTTACCTCTCTCTTGGGTACTATGTGGTGACACGCATCTGATGAAGCATGCTACTATGTCTCTTAATCACACAGTGTTGTAAACTAATGTTACCTCAATTTAAAAAAAAAAACCAAAAACCTTATTCATGTGTTAAGTCCCATTCCTGGCTCCTCCAAGTAAATGTGATTTTCTGGACTCCTAATCATTTCAATTGATATATCTATTATAACTTGCATACCTATATGCAAGCCTTATCAGCATATAAAGTACTTGAGGCAAAATCTTATCTCTTAACTTCCTGTACTTCTGGCCACAGGTAAAGATACTGTGGCACAGTAGATAGTAAATGAGAGAGGCCTTAGGAGAGAAGTATAATCTAGGAGTTTACATTAAAAAACAAACTCAAAGGACCCAGAGCAAGCAAACATAAGCATATAAAATGGCTAAGTAAAGAAAAGAAAAAAATGAAATAAAAGGACTGGTAAATGTCCCATGAAAATTCCCACCTCAGAAAATAGCTCAATCTAACTGAATGGGGATATTGAGAATATATATGGAAAGACTTTCTTTTCCTTCTCATCGCATTTCTCCATTCCATAAGGCATATCTAAAAATCCCTCATTAAAAAAGTCAAAAGTATGGTTGAGAAAACTTTTCATTATGGATTTGCTCCTTCTCTTGGAAAGTGGGATAGCATTAGAATTTCTCAAGTTTTTATCCTTTCCCAAGAAAATTCATTCACTTTTATAGAACACTGGTAGTATGATGGACACAGCTATCAAGGAAGAAATATATTTCAAGAAATTTTGTTCATAATATATTTCCAGAAATTTTGTTCAATGAGCAAATTTTGAATGACCAATTTACTGACAAATCAAAGATTACTTTTCATGCAAGAATACCTTAAATTTCTGCTTTTACAACAAACATTGAAGCAAGGGGTAACTAACCTCATTCTTAACTACTTTTTACACAGATAAAGTATAAAAATAAATCCTTTAATTTTTTCTGAAAAATTCTAACATGTACTTAAGAGTTCATGTCTTCTTTTTAAAGTTCTTAAAATGAAATCCATTTTGAATAGCACTTTCCAACATTCTGTAACAGATATATTGAATGAAGTGTCAATCACCTTATTTTTGACATATAACTAAATTCTACTGCTGTGCAACTTATATGTCCATCAGTCATCTGCAAACGCAGCATTCTTGGTGCAGCCTGAGATTCTTCATTATCCTTTGGTGCAGCAACATTGCGAATTTTCTGAATTTGCAAAACACATGGACCTTCAAGCTGTGAAAATACAAAAGAATAAATGTCACTTTCTAGACATAATTTTGTTTTCAATCATAATGTTTCTTTTTTTTCCTCAATGGTTACACTTTATGATTTACTATAATTTCAATTAAATAAGGTCAAAATTGAAATTATATTACATACATTAGGATTCAGTACTTAGAGATAAAACTTCAAGAGGGCCTCTTCAAGAACATTTTAAAAACTTCTTAATTCGTTTTGAGAAAGAAACAAGAAAAATTCAAGGAAAACAAAGAAATATTTCTGGATTAATAGTGTACTATTAGATATTAGCTTAGTACATAGCATTAGTTTTAAGTGATGTAGTTAAGACACATCTTCCTTCTCCTGTACATTAAAGGATAATCTGGAATTAGAGAACTTGATTTTTTTAAAGGAAGATCAATGTTACAATAGCAATTGAAAGGGATGTTTTCAGTTGAAAGCATCAAGTTTAAAATACACCCTCTTCTGGCATAGATGAAGAATACACTACTCCAAAATTTAAACTACTGCAAATTCAATAAATGTGAGCTATACTTGAGTATTTTCACATTTGTTTTAAATAAGTTTAAAACTAATTTTATATTACATGCACAGTAGTGAGGAGAAGAAATGGTCTCTATGGCCACATTTCACTCAATGACAAATATAAAACTGACGGACCAAATAGCTAGTAAGGTAAAAGTTTAATGTAATAAAATCTGTATGTTTTAATTGGGAAATAACAGTTAAATCTGCTTACATGTCTGAAAATAAATTTACATGAGGTGATACTTTCTACTTAAAACAATTATACCTTTATGCAACAGTGTAACTACAAAGGGAAAAAAGGACTTTTTTTGGTTATAATCATTTACATAAAATCTTTCTGTGCACATTAATGTATATTTCCAGCAAAAGATAATGTGAAGTAATTGAGGAATATTTACTCTTAATTTCTCAAGTAAGCATGACACCAAGTTGACAAATATTTATGAATATTTTTCCTGGATCGAATAATTTTGTTACAAATTTTGGTTCAGAGAATAATGAGGGAAAAGAGACTAAAAGATCATCTAATTTCCAGTTACGAAAAAAAATCCAATTGAATCAAGTCCAAAACCTTTAACAAGTATAAGTAAGCTGATAATTCAGGATGAACTTCTGTTTTTGAAAACTTTCGTTAATGTCATTAAAATAAAGACTTAGGTAAAAGTAATGGCTGATATAATGTATACCACCTTTTTTATATCATAATATTTACTACTCTATTTTACTACTTTTGATATATTTAACCTAAACAATGTCTAATATTTAGACTGTGCTATCGAATACTATCCACCAACATGTGAATATTTAAGTTCCCATTTAAGTTTTTTTTATTTAAGATTTATTTTTATTTTTATTTTTATTTATTTATGCATACAAGAGTTGGGGAATAGGCCAGAGGTGCCGGGGCGAGAGGATTCACCAGAGACAGAGTAGGGAGCAGAACAGGCAGATCCACTGAAAAACACTGCCTAGAGGAGCAGCAGGCAAGACAGGAGAGGTTTGCCGTGCCATGTGGGTCAGCTCCCTGGCCTGGGCTCAAACTCATGCTGCAGTGGTTGGTGATAGCTTGGTATCTCTGAGACTTTAAATCCTGTGCCACCAGGGAGGCCCAAAGTTCCCATTTAATTTAATCAAAGTAGAATGAAAACTTCAGTTCTTCAGTCACACTAACCACATTTTATGTGTTCTTTACCTAGATAGCATGGACTGTCTACAACTGCAAACAGTTCTATTAGATAATCAATGATAAACTAGACCTATGTGCTCCAAAGTGAGACTCATGTATCCAAGGGCTGAACATTCGTTGGCCTGTAGGAGGAAAACATTTCCTTCCATTTAATTCTTCATAAAAAAGAAATCAAACTTACCGAATATTTCATATCCAGAGCTACAAGGGCACTGTCATTCTATCCATATAACATATAGGACACAAGGCAGATATCTTTATGGATTTTGGAAGTTATATATTCCTGGCTGTTAACAGGGCACCCCATTGATTTTTTTTTTTTTTTACTTTCAATATATTATGACAAACTGCCTTTAATTTGTGTATAATTAAACTGATATATAGATTATATTACCTAGTAACATCTCTGATGTTACTAGCAAACAGCAAGCGTACTTTTTAAATTACTTTAACTCTTGGACTATGCATCCCTTTCAGTGGATTGGACGGGCTATAAAACTGAAACCCCAACTGCACTGAGGTCAGGTAGTCTTGCTCTAGTGGTGGGCCCACAGCAAAGCCAGGCAGGCAAGCTCCAATGCATATGAATGGTGCCAGGCAGATTTAAATCTGATTGTAGTTTTCCAAAACCACCATGGTTTATCAATCCACTGAAAGGGATTGAGAAGCCATGCATTTTTGTACACAGACCAATCAAGTCTTAGCTCATACAGGTGTCAGATCTTAGAAATGGTAGCAATTTTGAAAACAGATCAATCTGGATAGAAAAGCAGTCACCCTGAAAGAAATATAAGCCAGAGCAGAAGACAGCTTCATTCACTGATTGGGAGATTCTCATTGGAATACTCATTCTGGACTCTAATTAAAACAGGCCAAGAAATCTTACAATAAAACTGAGAAATACTTAGAAATGAAGGATAATGAAAATACCAAGTAAAACAATTTGGATATAGTTAAAGCAATGGAGGAGAAAAATGAATAGCTTCAAGATAATTATATTAGAAAAGAAAATTAATGAGTTGGTCTAACAAGTTGGGAAAAGCACAACAAAATGAGCTCAAATAAAAAAGACAGAAAATAATAAAGATAATGAAATAGAAAATTAAAAATACAATAAAGGGGGCTAACAAGGTCTAGTGTTGGTTCATTTGTAAAGACTAATGAAAATGATATTGAACAAGAATGATCAAGAAGCAGAAAGTAAAGATCAGATAAACAATTAAGGGAGAAATAATAATAACCCCCCCCAAAAAAAACATACTTTCAGCAGCAATGAAAAAACAGTACTTCCTATAGCAATCTAATGTCCATCAACTGGAAAGAAAAAAGTGACAAATGCACACAGTTGAGTACCACTCAGCAATAAATAGGACAAACTACTGACACATGTATATAAAGCTTACAACAGATACATTATGTAACTTTAAAAAATATATAAAACTTTATAGAAACTAAATAGAGAGATCCATATATGTGTGCACTATAGTGAGCTCATACTATTTCACAGAAACCTCACATGCACATTTCTTCCCAATTCTGGTTTTAGTAATTTCATGATATAGTTTATAATCAGCCATGGTAAGAATATCAATTCTCGAAAAGTGGCAAGTACCACAAACTGGAACTTCTATTTTCTCCCTTCAAAGAAGTATTTTATCAGCATTTCATCATTAAAATGATATCATAAAGATCTCATCTCCAAGTCGATTTGCAGATTCAATGCAATTTCAATAAAAACTGCAACATACTTAAAGAAACTTGATAAATGGATTCTAAAATTTCCACAGGGGTAAGGGATATATGGGAACAAAACAGCCTACGGAAGAATAACATATTTTACCACCCCAAGATTAGAAAAACTTGATTATTTCAAGTGCCACAAAAGATATGAATCAATGAGATCTTGTATGCACTACTGAAGATGATGAAGTAATATAAATTGGTACAGCCACTTTGAAAAAAAATTTGGCATTATCTTGTAAGGTTGAACAATAGCTTAAGTATGGCATACAATAATTCAATTCCTGTTTACATCTGCTACTGAAACTCATATATATGTGCATCAGGAAAATATACATTTATTACAAGTATCCATTATTAAAAAAGAAAAAGACAGTATCTATATAATCATCAAGAGGAGAATGCATAAGTTTATTGTGACATATTTACAGTTTACATTATACAAAAGAGAATGAACGAATAATAGGTGTATGTAAAATGGATACATGTTAGAAGTACAAAAATGAATATATCAAATATTACATTAAAATAGTTCAAATAATTTACATACTATTTTGAGAGAAACACTGAAACTCAAACCACAGATCTGGTTTGATGAGAGTGGTTTATTGTCTAAACAATTCTGGGATGGGTAAAATGGAGAAGACCTAACTTGTGGTGTCTGCCAATTTCCACGGTGAACTTCAACTACTAAGTAGGTATCACTGAACTCCAACTTGGGAGCTGATATTTATGTGCAAGAAAGAACTGATTCTAGCACACTGCAAACATCTAGCACTATACCCTCCACTTGGCTCTCAGTGGCTCTATACACTTGCTCCTGCACTGCTGATACTATTACCCAAGAAACTCAATCTTGCTTTAGCTTTTACTAGCTACTTGCTAGCTACCAGCAGAGAGAATTCACCAAAGCCCCTCATTTTTAGTGTGTCTAGCCCACGTCAAGGGGAGCTATACCTAGCTAGCAGAGCTGGGTACATAACCGCAAAAGAGACTGAGTACAAGGTATGTGACACTTTATTTTTCTCCATCACCAAGACTCTGAAGATGGAAAACTATCCCAAACATAGGAAGAGAATTCAAGTTCTAGGAATCTTAAATGACCACTATGTTTTTTGGGTATTACTATCCATCAAAAATAGTTTGCAACACTCTATTTTCTAAAGTTTGTACAATAAGTAGCTTTTGCTTTTATATTACAAATAGAAATAATACTGATTGAGATGTGTATGTATGTATGTGAATATAAATACATATGCACATACCAATACACATACATATACACCCCTCTACCCTAAGATTTTAAATATGCCCCCACCATCTTCTCCTTAAAAAAATTAACATTAACACTCTATCAAGAAAAGTAGGAGAGGAAGAGTTTACTGAAAACCAGGGTTCTTCTTGGTAAATTAGGGGCTTGTACTAAATAAATAAAGAAAGAAAAGAAAAAAGATCAAATGCATGAGGGATGCTCTAATAAATAGCTTTGGGAAGGTAGTCCCAAACCCTGACCTTAGATTTTTCAAGTGAAATTCAT